TGATTGCTACGAAAGACTCTTTTAGGACTATTATTCGATTCTTTGAGGATGTAGAGTTTATGGGGGAGATAACGTTTTGAAGTTAGTGATTTTGTCTTTGAAGAAGAATACATATATATATATATCACTTCTGTTATAATTAACAATGATCAGGATCACGAACAAATTCTTGATCTAGATCTTATTCAAGAAATAATTTCAAATCAAGACAATATTACAAAATTTCCTAAACATAATCGAAAGATTGTTTTAGGAAAACAAGCTTAACAACCTTGAAAAAAAATGCCATTAAACAAATCCACTAAAGAAAGGAGAAAGATATTTGATTGATGAAAGAAAATCTAGCCAATCAACTTTCATCAAGCCATGAAAATGAATAATTCGCAAGTGTGGATTGTTGCCATGAATAAATAGATAAAGTCCATGAAAGAAAATGACGTTTAAGAACTTATTCAATTGCCTAAAGGTGTGAAGCCTATTGGTTGTAAATGAATATTTAAAACCAAAAGGGATTCGAAGGGTGACGTAGATAGATATAAGGTTCGTCTGGTTGTAAATGACTTTTACTCAAAAAGAATGGCATTGGCTTTAAAGAGACTTTTTTTGATTGCTACGAAAGACTCTTTTAAGACTATTATTCGATTCTTTGAGGATGTAGAGTTTACGGGGGAGATAATGTTTTAAAGTTAGTGATTTTGTCTTTGAAGAAGAATACATATATATATCACTTCTGTTATAATTAACAATGATCAGGATCACGAACAAATTCTTGATCTAGATCTTATTCAAGAAATAATTTCAAATCAAGACAATATTACAAAATTTCCTAAACATAATCGAAAGATTGTTTTAGGAAAACAAGCTTAACAACCTTGAAAAAAAATGCCATTAAACAAATCCACTAAAGAAAGGAGAAAGACATTTGATTGATGAAAGAAAATCTAGCCAATCAACTTTCATCAAGCCATGAAAATGAATAATTCGCAAGTGTGGATTGTTGCCATGAATAAATAGATAAAGTCCATGAAAGAAAATGACATTTAAGAACTTATTCAATTGCCTAAAGGTGTGAAACCTATTGGTTGTAAATGAATATTTAAAACCAAAAGGGATTCGAAGGGTGACGTGGATAGATATAAGGTTCGTCTTGTTGTAAATGACTTTTACTCAAAGAGAATGGCATTGACTTTAAAGAGACTTTTTTCATTGCTGCGAAAGACTCTTTTAGGACTATTATGACACTTGTGACATATTTTGATCTTGATATATATTTGATAGTTTACAAATTAAAGAAATTCATATATCGGTTTAAGTATGCTTCTTGTCAATGGTATCAAAATTTCATCAAATGATTATCTCGTTTGGTTTTTAGATGAATTCAGTTGATGATTGTATATATCTCAAGTTCAGTGTGAATAAGAATATTTTTTCTAGTATTGTATGTTAGTGACATACTATTTGCTTACAATGAAATATGCTTATTGCAAAAAATCAAGAGATTTTTGTCATGGAATTTTGAAATGAAAGATCTTAGTGACGTCTTTTTTGTGCCGGGGATACAGATACATCGGGATTGTTCTCACGATATTTTTGAATTATTACAAAAAATTTATATCAATAAGGTTCTTAAAAAATTGGGGATGCAGGAAAGTAAACTAGGCGATACCCATATTGCTAAGAAAAACAACTTTAATATTAATAAATGCCCCAAGGATAAGTTTAAAGAATAGGAAATACAAAAAGTTCCCTATGTTTCAACGTATGTGAGTTTAATTTATTCTTAGATTTGCACACATTCAGATATAACATTCATTGTTGGAATGCTAGACAGATATTTAAGTAACTTTGGAATGAATATTTAGAAAGTAGCCAAACAGGTTATTCAGTATCTACAGAGAACTAAGGATTATATGATCACATACCTGAAATCAGAAATCAAACCAATTTGAGATAATTGGATATTCTGATTTTGATCATGGAATATGACTGTGGAAATTTGTCATTGGACTGCATATTTTGGATGGAATTGAAAGATCATTTAAGTTATTTTGTAACAATAGCAATCTTTTATTCCGACAAAAGCTCGATGATGTCAAAATTTATACACATTAAGTTCTTAGTTATTAATGAAAGAATTCAAAATGGTCAAGTTTCTATAGAGCATATTAGGATAAATTTCATAATTACGGATTCGCTTAATAAAGAACTACCACCCAAGGTCTTTCGTGAGCATATTGCTCATATGTGTGTTGCATCTTTTGATGATTTGATATTTTAGTGGGAATTTGCGTTTGGTGGTTGTCTAATTTGGACACATTTTATACTTATAGATATGTGGTTTATTCTGCAAAAATAAAGTATTCGGTTCAGTTTCACTCTGATTAAAGTTTTGATTTGATCTCATTAAATAATAAGGTAGGACTAGTTGGAAATATGTACGTTTGGATCACATTACATGTAATCTCCATGCTACACATTCACACTTGACCTATACTATTTGATTGTGTTAATATATGTGACTATTGAGGGCTTTTAGTTATGATAATTGGCACGAAGAACACTTTGAGCATATATTAAGATAATTTATGGAAGAGATTGTGCGGAGATGCTTTTGGTTATGATAGCAAATATTTTGAGCTCAAAGGTTATACACATTTATAAAGTAACATGTGTGGCCTAAGTGGAAGATTGTTGAGAACATTATTAATTTGTCATATGAGCTTACATATGTAATTAATTGTATATAAAAGCTACCTTAAAGTTAAGTTCAAAATTAAAGTGATTTAATAAATAATTGAGTAATTAGGCCTTGGACATCTAAATAAAGTGTCGATCGGACTATATTTGTAGAGATCAGATCTATTAGGGTTATATTTGACGATAGATCGAATACATATGGAAATTATATATATGGTCATGATCTCCGGTTCATACGAAATTCTCTTATTATTTGTGTCATCCCATCAGTACAAAAATACAAGAGAAACTATATTGAACAGAAAGATCCAAAACCTAAAATAAAAAACATAAGTTTAACAATAAAAAAGAAGGAAGCGAGACTAGGGCTGTCTGTAGGTCGGATCGGTTCGGTTCTGAAGAGANCAATTAATTTGCTAATATGTATAGGAAAAAAATAAAATAATTTAATTAATTCAATATAAAAAATAAAAAAATTATTTAGTTTCGGTTCTTCGGTTCTTGGTCTAGACCCGAGACCCGACCCAAACCCATCAGTTCTCGGTTAGGGTACCCGTTCGGGTATTTAATTTATGAAGAACCGCTCGGTTCGGTTCGGTCCGGTTCGGTTCGGGACTTTTGGATACCCCTAAGCGAGACAATTAAGATTATGAGCAAGAAGCAAAATCAAGATCAATAACAAGAATAAGAACTCGTGACTCAAAGAGCTAATATTCAAAACCCAAAATCTAGATTCGAAATTAAAGAATTATTCCTAATAAATCAATGTATGTTCCGCATTTAATAATTTTCTCGATAATTCGATTGGAGGATCTTGACAATAAAGTGATTAGATTTTCAAGTTCTTGAAATTTAAAGTTTTTTAAAGATCTAACAACTAATTCCCATACATTTCTCTCCTCAAATATATAGGCGGAATTAAAATTGTATACGAATAAAATATTTCGTGGACAATTTTTTAAAACAAATAAATTTAAAAATTACATAATTAAATAAAAAATTAAAATTTTTTTAAAGCAGGAATAACACAGGCCAAAAATGGCATATAACACGAGCCAACCTGTGCAACTTGACGAGTTACATGGGATTGGCCCAAGCCTAGGATAAAGCCATTGAACCTCGAGCCAATAGACCAATTTGTCATTCCTATATGTACATAATGCAAATACGTTTGCATTTAAAATAGGGAAAAAAACAGCAACTGGACCAAACATTTCGATTTTAAGTAGACTTTGTTTAAACTTTCATTTTGTTGAACTCATAGGATCAAACATTTCAAAAACTTGCACCTGGAGTCTGATGATTTTTGTTGATTTGACCGTTACTTCGACCAATAAATTGACTCTGACCAATTTTAAAATGGGTAAAATGATAATTTTAAATTAAAATTAAAAATAAAATAAAAGGGTCTTCTTCACGCATCCCATATTGCAAAATTTATGATTTTCCTAAAATCCTCACTATTTCTATGCACTTCAATGTTCACTATTTGACCTCAATTCTTCCGGTCTGTAACACCAAAATCCTCACAAAATAAAGCCCTCACAATAACCCATAATGATTTTACAGAGAACAGTTCCAGGTAGCCAATTTCGCACAGTTTTAAGCCTCAAAGCTAAGATTTTTCGTAGCAAGTTTTTCGAAGATTTACAAAAACACTTTTTGCAGAAGACGATTTCCCTAAAATTTTGAAGCAGCAGATTTGGTGGATTAGAATTATCTATTTCACCATCTGGAGGTGAAATAAATTGAGATTTGTTTGTGGTTTGGTAGTATAAGAAAAAACGGGTGAATCCACATTAGAAAAATTTCTCAATTTCTCAACTACTAAGTTTTTTTTTTTTTAAAAAAAGGGTATCCAAAAATGTACCAAATTAGAAAAATTTCTCAATTGTTACCAAGTCTCGATTCAATTCAAATAAATATTTAACCTTTTTTACATTACGGACACGCATGATGTAAGTTTTTGAAAAGTGTTTTTTGGAAAATGTGCGATTAAAAATTTAAAAAAAAGTAATTATGGGTCAACGTGCAAAATTATTTTATTCAAAAAATGCATAATTGAAAATAAAATTGGGGAAAATGAGTTTAAAAAATCAGTACCAACGAGAGGCTAAGATTCTGGATCTCCAATATTAAGAGTAGGTGTTTTAAGATTACACCTGATTTAGATAGAAAAATTGATAAACATTTCTTACACCTTTCTTAGATCAGCCATGGCAACTCAAAATAGGATCAAGGAAGCAAAAAGATCCAAACAGTTTCACCAGACAATGGCAATTCAAAAGCATAGACCTCACTAGTTATAATATATTTACACCAGCAGCAAGAAAGAATAACTCAAAATCAATCTTCGGACCAGGGTTCCAGCTCCTGCAGCACATAACAGCATTCATCATCTCCGCCCCTGAAGTAATAACACGAAGATCAGGTGGTCTATTTTCCATATAATAGTAGGCATCGTTTGAAGTGGCCACTGATATAGGGATAGCTAAGAAGTCTCGGGCCATTTTTGAGACATTTGGATACTTGGGAGCTTCAGATTTCCACCACCGCAATACATTGAAGTTTTCATCCCAAGGTACTACAGGATCTTCTAAATACGAATCCAGATCAGATTTTTTAGGCTTATTATTGACTAGAACATATTCACTGTACTCTTGGCCTCCCGGAAAATTTGGAAACTGTTCTTTATCATTTCTTGGATTTCCCTCTTCTGTTTTAAGATTTGAAGTACCTTCAGAATTATCCGTTTTAGTGCCACGGATCACATAATCTGCATAGATGCTTTGAATAGCCTCCAAAACAGCACCACTTTCAAAGATGCCATCTATGTCTTCAAATTTCGTGGAAATATACTCCATGTATTGCATCTTGCAACGAGGATCCATCACTGACGCAATCGCCAAGACCAGAAACGTTTCTTTTATGTACTTCTCAAGCCTTTGAAGCATTTTCTTAGCCACACTGTTAGTAAAAGAGACTGAACTGGTGGCTTCGAGAATTAATTTTGCACGAAGTTCCTGAAGATTGTACAAAAATTTGTTAGCGGTTGGATGCTTTGTTTCAAAAACCTGCTTTGCAACATTGTAAGCGTTATCCACAAGTCTATAGACAATTCGAACTTTATCACATTCATCTGCAGAAGGCACATCACAATCCCTACGCATATCTTCTGAATTGAATTCTCTCAGTGTTTCCATATGTAAAGAATTTTTCAGTTTCGAATTTGTGATATGCCACATAGATTCAGGCCACGACCAATGTAGCATTTTGAGTTTGCTGATGATAGTAGATATCTCTTCGAATGCATCTTGTGCCATCAAACCAAACATTTCAGCACAACAACTCACAGAAAAAAGACGAGAATCAAGTGGCAGTCTGTTCTTCTCCTTGAACTGAGACTTAATGGACTCAATAATTTCATCGAATGCAAATTCATTAATATTTCCCGAGGTCAGAGTATATACTTTATCCTCAAGGTTCCAGTCATCTATAGATTTCAAGATTGCCGCATCAATAAAATCAAGCCTTTGAAAACTAAGAATCCATTTCTTCAAGTTCCAAGAGTCGTCAATGAAGTGGGCGGCCAAACATACGAAGTCATAGCGGGAACCACGGCTATTTAAGTACGTTAACACGTCAACTGAAAGAGGAATCATTCGGCCCATATGATTCAAAGTACATTTTGTTATTGATTTCGCTTCCTCAAAAACCTTCAAGCAATCATTTTTGGTTGTCTCGGAATCCAAGGTCAAAGAAGGAAAGTATTCAGTCATCAAGTTTCTGAAATCGTCATTTTTTACAAGATTCGGTGTCACATCCTCGAAACATATGAAATTGGCAATACCTCGTCGCGCCCTTTCTATATCAATAGCAGTATTTTCATCATCTTCCAAATCACTAATATCTTCAACATCTCCCTCATCTTCAAATCCCACAGAATCATCCCCCTCGTCACTCCCTTTTTCGAATTCACCATGACAAGAACCATCTCCTATTTCAAAATTATCAGCAAAGAGTATGTTATTGTCTAAGCCCATGTTTGGCTAATGTTGAGCACTCATCTCTAACTAGTTATAATTTAAACTTACACTTCCATCAGCATCCATTTCAAGGTTCTTTTTTATCTAATTTTCTCATTATATAAATAGACTTTCACAGTATTCAAATTTCAAACCCAGCCAAAGTTCAATCCTAAATAATAAATATGTTTAGCAAAAGGGGGGGAAAAAAATAAAAATTTCTAAAAATATGTAGAACGAAATAGTACTATGCACAATCAGAATACAAAATAGTAACTTTAAAAATCACATTCGACAAAACTAAACAGAGAAAAGTTACCGTCTACTTTCTGAGCATCATCGGCGGCCGGGGCGGATGCGGAGGCGGAGATGTCACGGTGGCGCTTCATTTCCAACAGATCGATTAATCTTGGTGCATATTACTTTTCGATTTTGGGTCTAGACCTTAAAAAATTTAATGGATGGTTCAGATGCATTATAAACTTTTCCCGCGCTTTCCCTTCTTAATGGACGGTTTAGATCAACTCTTCGAATAATCCCCTATTTGATGAGGAAATAATGGGAAAAGAATTAACCTGGTCCCAAGAGTTAAAAACCCTAAAATTGTCATTATTGTCATGACTTTTGGATCGGAAGATAATGAATTAAACAAGAAGAAAATAAATATCAAAATTTACGTGGAAACTCAATATGGGAAAAAATCACGGGTATAGGAGAAAAATCCACGAAAATCCATAGTAATTGTGTTTACAGTATTAACATCTCAATTCTCTCATTGAAATCTAGTGCCTGTTTGACACCTGTTTTTCTACCATTTTTTAACAGAAACTTGCATAATGTGTGGGCCCCGGGTACATTGAAAATTAAATTTTCATCTGACAGGGTGTCTTTCTTCCTTACTGACATGACAGAAAGTAATGACCATCATTTTTCTTCCCACAAATGCCCTTCAAAATTGCCGGCACGTGAAAATCACCATGATGAAAATTGTAGGGCAAAACCGGAATAATAATGCAACGGTAATATTATTTCCCATCAACAGAATTTGTACTCTGACACAATAAAGTTGACTGTGGTGGCG